ATAGGTCCTTAAATCATTTCTTACTAGTTACTACTTCAACCCATGTCCTTTTTTCTCTGCCCTTAGCTCTTCTAGCCCTTCAACTTGTAGCAGATCACTTCTTACAGGTGTTGTAGATGGTCTTCTCAGAATCAAAATCATAGAGCCAAAAATTCAGGTTGGTTGCACTACCTCAAAACCTCCTAGGGATAGGAATGCAAGACATCTAAAATCACCCTAGCTACTTGAAATAATGCAACTAGGAGATAGACAAGCATGTCGAGATTTTCACATGCTTGAATTATTGAGTAATTGAAGCCCTTCAGTACAATCCACATTTGTTTGCTTTCACTTTTTTTTATCAGCAAAGGGAAATTCATTAATTAGTTAAAAGAGAAGAAGTACAACTGCTGGAGTAACTTTGAATTTGATACAACAGATTACATTTTTGCATAGAATAAAATAGATCTGTCCACACCCTGTCAAGTGAATACATCTGCCAAAACCCGTTTGCAGTTCTTCTAACCCAGCTGAGCAAAGAATTAAATCTCTTCAATAGAAGGTCAATATCCCTGAAGGCATTAAATCACTAGCTGTGAGTCACCCTCAATCTCCAAATCCCTAACAAAATATTTCACTATTAACTGAGCTAGCAATGCCAATTGGTCTTGAATACAGAGCCACCACCACTCCTTGGTGATTTCTAAAAACACCAATACCAGCCCTTCCTAGATTGCCAATAGAGCTACCATCAAAATTTAGTTTCACTTTATCGGTCTTTGGAGATTCCAGTCCATTATTAACCTGTCAATGTGCCTTCCCGAATGTGCCACTTCAGCCCAAGACCTTACAGTCATTGGTAGAAAAATCCCGAAAGAGCTCCAAGGTGTTTACCTGATGTGTAGTTCTGACTGTTATAGTTTCAATCAATTCCTCCTTGGATATACTTTTTTCATTAAAGACCCTTTGGTTCCTTTCTTTCCAGACTGTCCAAAGAAAAGCATCTCTTACTGTCCTCTACATAATTCTTCATCTTCTGTTGCCTCAAGAAGTCAGAATTGAACAAGCTTACTACATCTTGTGGTAGGACTCATCTGCAACCAAAGAGAGAACAGAAAGATTCTCAAAGGCAAGACACAAAGGAACAGGAGATTAACAAATGAGGAATAGTCTCACCACTAGCCTTGTGAAGAATGCACACGAGGAAAGAGGCATTTGTTAGGCCTTTTTCTCTGTAGCAGGTCACAGGTATTAATCTTCTCAAGGAACACTTCCAACAGAAACCCTACTTTAGGAGGGATGGGTTTACACCAAAATTCCTTCATTGGGAAATCTACACCCAAAGGTTCCGAAGGCCTTTTTTCGTTTGCTTTCACTTTCACTTCAAATTTGTTTCTTATGTTACACTAATGTATTTTGATCTGGATTAATAAGCTATTTAACATTTATTTTTTTTAATCCATGTTTCCATATTTTATGTATTGATTATCTATTTATATTTTGAATTAAAAAATAGTATCTTGCTTTGTTCGGATGGTAGGTATGCTCACCTTGTACCTTACACCTTGGCCACTAGAAGGCTCTTGAGCTTTTCTTGCACCTTTAGCTTTTAGATACTAGCTATTGGATAGTGGTGGGAGTGGGGAGGCTTTGGATCCAAAAGAAGAAAGTGCACACAAGGATAGACCTGCTTGTCTTACTTCCCAATTTTATTATGAAGGTATAGCTAAATGGTGATTTAAAGGGGATCACCACATGTGACACAAAATCCAACTTTTAGGAGGCTACTGCTGCAGCTAGACTACTTGAATCATGGAGAATGAAATCATTATTCCAGATGTAGAAGACCGAAGAATATGGTCAGATGATCAACTAAGTTGAATTTTGATGATAGCAGTGAAGGTAATGCAGGTCCATCAGGTGTTGAAGGGAAAGTTATTGTTTTATTTTCGGGCTCTATTGGTGTAGGTGACTTACTTAGAGCTGATATCTTAGTAGTAATGGAAGGGGTGAAAAGAGCAAGGAATTGAATATCAGAAAACTCATTGTTGAAGGCAACTCAAAGCTGGCCATAGGTTGGTTACAAAAAGAGAATGGAACTTGGAAATTTGCAAATGAAAAAATAAGTTTAAGTGGCTGACCGAGGACATGGAGATAAAGATGAAATGGGTGAAGAGAAGGGCTAATTCTTTTACTGATGCACTTGCAAAACAAGGGGTGAGAAGGGATGGTTTATTTTGGGCTCTGTTGTAATTTGAGCTTGTACTCGGGGAGGGTTAAGAGTGTTTACCCCTCCCCTTATATTCTTGAATCTGTTCCTTTTCTTATTTATTAATATAACAATAAAAGATTCTGTTATTGATAGGAAAAAATGAATAAGGTCAGATGATCCTAAGGGTGAATTCTCAGTTTAGTTACAAGGGGCTGTAGAAATCACTGTAGATTTATCCAGGTTTTGGGGAAACCAAGTGCCTCAAAAGGTAGAACCCTTTCCATGTTGGTGACATTGGAGAAGATACTCAAACCCCACTTGAGCCAAAAATCATCAAGTTGGCAAGGATGTGTTGTGTGAAGTGGAGGAAAAGATTGATAACTAGTTTCTCGTGTAATGTTGCAAAAAAGATACAGGGTTACTTTCCTCATGCATACAGAGTTCAATGGAGAACTACAATACCTGAATACCTATACTTATCCGATTGATACCAGATACTGCATGGATACTTATAGATGTACTTTACAGCATTAACACTTTTAAAGTATGTAATGTGGTATGTTTTAATAGATTGTACTATAATGGAGAACTACAATACCTGGATACCTGTACTTATCCGATTGATACCAGATACTGCATGGATACTTATAGATGTACTTTACAGCATTAACACTTTTAAAGTATGTAATGTGGTATGTTTTAATAGATTATACTATAAAAATATTTGTACATGGAGAGAATAATAGGGGATCATTGATTGTAGATCTTCAAAATTTTCTAGGCTTTAGTTGTTTATATATGATCCTCCAAAGAATAACTGACAAATATTAAGTTATTGATATTTAACAAAGATGGTCATCTTATACCTGTTAACTTCATGCCACTTTTGTGTATAGAGAGGGTATATTCTCTAGAACCTTCTTCTTTTTCCAATTTGTTGGGCTATTTTGAAGAAACAGAATAGGCATATTTTAAGCCAAAGAGTTCAAAGGAAATGGTCATAACAAAAGTCTTTGGTTTCCTTTACACAGTCTCCACCAAATGTCCAATTAGAGAAAGAAGTCAGCTTAACTCGGGGGTATAAAGGGAAATTCCATCAATTAATCGATGACAAGTAGAGGTAGGTGGAGTTGAAAATAAATATACATTTATAAACTGGCTGTGACAGAGATTTCATCCACCATACAAGGCTACACATTATTTTCAATTCTACGGTGGACCAGTGGTTAAAACCCCCCAAAAAAAACTACAAAACCAATCAACAAAGGTTTTCCACATTACAATTTTGAAACCCCAGAACTTCCCCAAGACCCTCCCGTGTAATTTGTCTAAATTCTGGTAATACTAATACCCAGTCTGCGACAGATTTACTGATAGCTTCCACAATTTTATCCAAACTCCGTGATTTGTCTTCAAAAATTCTTCTATTCCTTTCCTTCCATATATTCCAGCAGAATGCAAATGTAATGCAGCTCCAAATCACCTTTGATCTCTTGCTTCCTCTTAACTTTGGCTATAAAGAAAAATCTCAACAGAAGAAGCTGGATGATAGTCTCTTACTCCAAACATGGCAGTGAACAGCCTCCACAAAAAGCCAGAGATCTTGCACAAGAAAAATAAATGGCTAACATTTTTCTCTTGCTCTTTGCACAAGAAGCACATACTAGCCATATTGATACCCTTAGATTTCAGATGATCCACAGTCAAGATACAATCCATGGCTACAAGCCATGCAAATGCTTCAACTGTGGGAGGGACTGGATTTCCCCACAAACCAACGGTGTGACTTGAATCTGAAAGATCCCTACAAAGATAAAGATAGCAAGACTGTAAACTTCCCATTTGAGCATTCCCTCTACCATAGTTCATCCCTTGACTGAGCTGAAACTCTCACCTCCTCCAATTTCTCCAATAATGTAATGCATTCTTCAACCTCTCTATCCAACAAAGGTCTTCTGAATTTTGGGCACCAAACCAGTTGATCCCTGGTTTCATAACAGAGACTGACAGACACTTCAGGTTCAGCCAGCCTATACAGCCTTGGACACAGCTCACTCAATTTGCCTATCCCGCTCCAATCATCCTCCCAAAACGTGATTCTTGCTCCGTCTCCTACTAAAAAGCTTGTCATATTTTTCAATTCCTGGTTGAACTTCATGATCCCTTTCCATACACTGACCCCATAAGAAATCCCTCCTTCCCCTCCCACCCCCTTCCATAAGAAATCCCTCTGAACCTTTTCCACTATTTCAGCCACCCATGATGGCATCCTCAGTAAGGACACGTAATAAGTTGGCAAGTTTGAGAGAACACTTCAAATTAAAGTTATTCTCCCCTAAAGTAAGATATTTAGCTTTCCAACTATCCAATCTTTTCTCAATCCCCTCCACGATTGGATTCCAAATCACACTTGAGTTTGAAGCTCCACCAATCGGCAGTCCCAGTTAAGTAAATGGAAGTACCCCCATTCTGAATTGAAAGGCTTCAGCACATTCTACTAATACTTCCCTTCCAACTTCCCCTACTCCAATCATCACACTCTTAGACAGATTCTAACCCTAGTTCCTCTCATATCTCTCTCTACTCGTTCTCTTTCAGGCGGAGACTTCTAGAGAAGATTTCTACCGGTTTTCTCTCTTATTTTATTCTATTTTTATTTAATTTGAAGAAACTTAATCTAAATCATGCTCATCTAAGAACTCATCTCCTTTATAATTTTCCCCTTTCATATTTTGATTCTAAAAGATCTTCCTACAATTAAACATTTTGAAAATTTTAAGTGCAACTGTTACAAAGCCCAAGAGACTACCAGAACACCAGCAGCCATATCCCATGGTTTTAGACGATATTCCCAGTAGCTTTCCACAATTCCCAGTGCAACATGGCACATGTCCACTGCAGCTGCACCAAGCCGCCTCACTCCCTGTACATAAAAATGCAAGAAAATTATAAATTAACAAATGAAATCTCTTCTTGTGTGGAAAAACATCAGGATTTGAATATTACCCTGCTAACATCTGTAAATTCTTTGAATAAATCCATGTTTGTTGCCCATGCATCATCATGTTCATATCCAAATCCTGTAACAAGAAGAGAATGCTCCACCTAACAGGAAATGGAAATTTGTCATAACATGTAGATTGTTTAGTTATATGCAAAAGTAAAAAACTCTGCATGTTCTCGGCTACTGGAAGACTAATTTAAATGGTTCAAGGTAAGAGGCCAGACAATTAATGGTACCAGATATTCAATGGTCTACAGCAGCTACTAATGTACACTTCTCAACTCAATCCAACTGAGCCTTAATCCCAACTATTTGGGATCCATAACATGAATCCCATCCCACCATGGTGCTCTATCAAGAGCAATGTTTTATTATATCCCTAAATCTTTTTTTTTTTTTTAATTGGAGAAAACTGACAAACAAGAATTCTGTAGAGAAGATGGGCCGAATGGCCCATAGCCCACAGTTGTGTTTTAATTTTATGTTTATGTTCTGTTTTGTTAATGGGCCCTTTTCTTATGGGCCTTTTAACTTTAGTTTCTCTTATGTTTAATTAGCTAGCAGCCCCACCAAGGACTAACTTGTAATTGTAGAGAACACTAATGTGGACCCCACTAAGGCGGTCCCCATTGTAATTGTAGAGAACACTTGGTGTATAGGTAGAAGAACCTATGATGCTGTACTGTGATAACTAGGCAGCAATTAACATTGCCCATAACCCAGTTCAGCATGACTGAACTAAGCACATTGAAGTGGATAGAAATTTCATTAGAGAAATGGTGACTTCTAGGGAAGTTTTGTCTCCCATACATTGCTTCTGATCTGCAGCTTGCTGATGTTCTCACAAAAGGTTGCAAGGAACAAGCTAGAGCATGATCTACGCAAGTTGGGAATGTGTGACATTTACTCCCAACTTGAGGGGGAGTGTTGAGTTGGGCCGATTTCTAGTTATTGGGCCCAGTTGTTTTTGTTCTTATTTTAAGTTGTTAATTAGGATGTTGTTGGGCTTTAGGCCCATTAGCTTATGTATTTTAAGTTGTGACTGTTCAGCTACTTTAGTAGCCGCCCTACTAAGGGCATTCTTGTAATCTTTCATTCTTTTAAGTATAAAATATAATGAGGGGTTGGTGGCCAGAACTAATTCAATTCTGGTTAACATTCCACTCTTCCTTTCCTCTCCTTTCTTCTATACTACTGAAACTCTTTATCTTCTTCTTTCTCTTCATAAGGAATTCATCCTGATTTACAAACAATGATTTCTACTGTTAGAATGCCCAAAGATAAAGGGGGTCTGGGAATAGGAAACATTTCACTTAGGAACTTAGCTCTACTAGGAAAATGGTTGTGGATATTCCTGTTTGAGAGAGATAGGTTGTGGCACAAAGTCATTGCAAGTATTAATGATTTGGTTGGAAATGGTTATGATTGCAAAAGTTGCCCCTCATGTTTCCTCATCTTCTCCTTGGAAAGGAATTTTTTAAATTTATCCAACATTCCTTAATTCCATTCGGTTTGATGTGGGCTAGGGTAATAAAGTTCATTTCTGGGAAGACCTTTGGGTGGGAGATAGTCCACTCAAAGATCTCTTCCCTGACCTATACACTTTGTCAAACTTCAAAGGGGAAACAATAAGCATTTTGGGTAATCCTGGCCCAAATGGGGTCAATTGGAATCTGGGATTCAGGAGGGGCCTTAGGGAAAATGGATGTGCCTCTTTAGTCCAATTGTTGGATCTATTAGGAGAAGTTCATCTGGACCCATCCTTGGAAGATTCTAGAATTTAGAAAGGTTCCTCATATAGCCTCTTCTCGTGTTCCTCCTTTAGTGTTCTTGCCACACCTAGCAACATGGTAGGGGACTTCTTTGTAAAAGAAATTTGGAGCAAACCTATTCCCCCAAAAATTCAAGCTTTCTGTTGGGAAATTTTCCTTAGCAAAGTTAATACTTGTGATATGTTACAGAGAAGAAGGCTTTTTGTGTGCCTTTCTCCTCACATGTGCTCCCTTTGTAAGGAAAGTGGTGAGACCTTGACACATCTATTATTATCTTGTTCCTTGTGCATCACATTTGGGATTCTTTTTGTTTTCTCTTTGGTTGCAGGTGGGTTTGTTTCCCCTCAAGATATGGTAGGACTTTTCAACAAAGGCAGCTATGTTACAGAGAAGAGACTTTTTGAGGCAATCAAAGAAAAGAGGGAAGGTTATGTGGAAAACTACAAAGGCAGCTATTTGTTGGGTAATATGGGAAGAAAGGAATAACAGAATATTTTTGGATAARAGTAGAACAAGGGAGGAGGTAATTGACACAATTAAAGTTAAAGTAGCTCATTGGATAAGATCCTTACATATCTTTCAAGAGTTCTCAATCACAGACATTATAAGATCCTGGATAGAAGTAGTGCAATCTTCAAGAGTGAAAGAGAGAGTAAGGATGGAAATGGAAACCTCCAGATAGTAACAGGATTAAACTGAATTTCGATGGAAACTCCTTTGGAAATCCGGGACTGTCAGGTATTGGAGGAGTAATCAGAAATTCTGAAAGGAGAATAGTAGCATTGTTCTCTGGACCTATCTCGGCATGGGCAACTCTCTAAAAGCTGAGTTTAACAAGGATTGAAGATAGCTAAGCAACTAGGAATGAGGCATGTTGAAGTTGAAGGGGACTCCAAGGTGATCATCTCTTGGGCTAAAAACAATAGAACTACTCCGTGGACTTTCAAACAAGTGATAAGGGAAGTGGAAAATATCGCAAGGGAGGTAGAGGCTGAGTTTAAATGGGTTAGAAAGAGTGCAAATGGGTTAGCTCTAACCCCATGCACAAAGTTGTAACACTTTTTAACTCTAATTTCAAATAAAATTCTCCTTTACTGATAAAAAAAAAATGTTGGTCTTATAAGTGTCTCATAGAGCTTTCCTTCTAGTTTCATCAATGCACCCCTCCGCTTTTATAAGTGTCTTATAAAAAAAAAAATGTTGGTCACACAGCACACCATGCACCCCTCCGCTTTTTTTCTTTTTTTATGACAAGTGACAGTAATGATTCATTCAAAAGAACTGCCATCATGCTCACCAAAGAAGCAAGCCAAGAAGTACAAGACTAGCAAAACAAAAAAGAAACAAGAATAACAAATGCTAACTGTTACAAATTTCACCCCAACCCTGGACAGCCCCACTCTAATTCATCAATATATGTTGTTCATACAGCACAGCATGCACCCCTCCACTTTTTTTCAACAAGTGACAGTAATGATTCATTAAAAAGAACTGTCTTTGTGCCCAACAAAGTAAGCAGCAAACCAAGAAGTACAACACGAGCTCAGGGTCATGGAGCACAAAACAAAATAAACAGAAAATAACAAGCAAAAAAACAAGAATAAAGAATCCGATAAGCCATTGACACTTCCAGGCACCCACTTGAATGATCTATTCAAAATGGCAGCCACAAATTGTGCCTATCTCATCATTGGGCTGAATTCCCAGGGAATAATGCCTTTGGATCTCATACAACAAATTATAGTTTGGCAATTCATACAACAAAATGATGGTCATTGTCCAAACTATTAATAACTATGTAGTATGTGCCACAGGGGCACTAAAGTCCTTTTACTCTGTTTTTTTAAGTTGTGTAGCCCTGTATATAATAATAGAATTGGCATCACCAACTACACACACACACACACACACACATACACTCTCTCTCTCTCTCTCTCTCTCTCTCTCTACCTACTCTCTCCCTTCTTTCTCTACAATAATATTATATCAGAGAACAAGTACTTGTCGAGATACTATGGGCTGACTTAATTGCGAGTATTGTATCATCTTGTACCTTGTGTACAATATATATTTCTTCTTTGTATATCTCTTTCTTTTATGTTTAGTGGAGGGCAGTTTTGTCCTTTCCCTTGTACCTACATAATATATTATATATATATATATATATGATAGGAGATCTACCTCGGGATACTGTGCTTTGGTGGCAAGGAACATCGTCTCATATAGGAGTAAGAAACAGTCTATAGTTGCCAAATCCTCTACTGAAGCAAAGTACAGGGCAATGACACATGGTGTGTCAGAATTGTTGTGGCTATGATCACTTTTAGAAGAATTGGGAGTTGACTATGAAAAGTTAATGATGCTCTACTATGACAACCAAGCATCTACCAACATTGCTCACAATCATAGTTTTCAAGGCGACAAGGCGAGGCTAGGCGACTGGGGGGCGCCTGGTTGCCTAGTCGCCTAGGCGATGCCTAGGCAATGGATTTTTTATGTTAAAAACATAGATCCTAGGGTAGTTCCCTAGGTACCATAACCATATTTCTTTATAACTATTCATGATTTTCATAAGAAAAGTATAAATTTCATATTCAAGTGTAGAAAATCAACATATTCATGAGAAGAAAAGGAAGAAGGAAAATAAAATTCAAAAAATATAGGGGCTGGACCCTTATTTTTGTTATAGGAAAAGAAGAAAATATAAATTATTGGTAGTAGTAGTAGTAGAAGAAGAATATATGGAAGAGGAAATGTGCTGATTAGATAAAATTTTTAGTTCTTCCTTACTTATTGGTTCAGGTTTTTAAGTCTTTGAGGGTTCAATACAGCATTTAGCAATGTTTGTGTTGATTAAACCCTAATAAATAAGAATATAATAAAAAGAAATTAGTATATAAACACACAAAATGATTATTTTAGTTTAATAATGTCTATTTTATCATTATAATCACAAAAAAGAATGAATAAAAAAGTATTTTATAGCAGGAAGTAGAAAACTATTAGGCGATTAGGCAAGGTGAGCCTCAAAGGGTTCCTTGTTGCTTAGGTGCCCGCCTAGGCATCACTTTGACAACTATGCTCACAATCCTATTCAACATGACAGAACTAAGCACATTGAGGTTAATAGACATTTTATACGGGAAAGAGTTACTTCAGGGGAAGTTTGCTTGCCATTTATTGCTTCAGAAGAGCAGTTGGTCGATGTTTTGACCAAGGGAGTTCCAAGAGGGAAACCGACACACTATATAAGGCTTATATTATAAGCAAGCTGGGCATGATTGATATCTATGCTTAGCTTGAGGGGGAGTGTAGAGAGACTGGGCCAA